CTTTCTGGGGTTTTCAGATGTCATCCAAAACCGAGCTCACTTAAAACCACCAAGCATAAACGAGGCTCCACAGAACCTGGACACATATGGCTATGTCCTGCCTCACCTACATCTGAATCATGTCTACGTATGCACAAAGCAAGGGCGCCAGGTACCTCCAAGCCCAAGAACCCCAGCGACTCCAGCCGCTTGCACGCATTAAGTTTGATTTGTTCACAAAATGCATCACAACCGGCAGCTGTGTGCCACCATTTTGGGCGTAATGCAAGGTTTTCACGCATCCCCTATGTTTGTGGTCTCACCACCATACGACGAAAGCGGGGCCTGGTGCAAGCACCAGTAAGGCCTGGTAGAGAATTTTACTCAAATTATTTCTTTTTCCCGAGGAAACTTGACCATTAAATTTCATCACTCCCGAAATGCAGGAGTAAAAAATTCAAGAAATGTCTTCTGAATTAAATTTACAAGATGATTATCATCATTTAAGCACTCATGTTAACAGATTTTAAGTCAAATCAGCTGATAACAAAATTTTGCCATAAAAGTATCAGTCTATATATTTATCTAACTGCTTTTGTTTTTCTTGGTGTCATACGAGTGTGATACCACTTTATTCTTCCTTCCTTTCTGATTGCCTTTATAGGTACCATCTGTTGCTTAAAATGTTGACCAACTTCTCTGCAAGATGATCCAACTGCAAACTTGTACGTATTTCATACATAAATTAAATTAATTCGCCAGCCGCCCAAACAAGTTTGATATGCACCCAAGAGTGAACAAGTCACAGCGAATGAAGGAGACAATTTGAGGCACGGAACTTATTTTTACCGCCATTTTTGCCCTGTTAAACCCTCGTTTAACCGTTTTATTGGTTCATGGCGGTGCTCAATAATGATAAATCCGAGCCTTTCGAATGTTTGACTTACCAGGCTACCGGGCAAGGCAATCCTAATGCTGCCATGTACAGTTTTGGGAAAGACCTGACGCAGCTAATACGGAAGTGCTTGACAGCGAAATTCTGCCCTCTGGAGATGTTTATCATGCACACCTATTTGTTTTGCATTTTAATCTCGTAGTTTGGTGGGCATGATTGATATTTAATTTTTTTTGGGGGGGGGAGTGGGATGGCTCTGTCTGCCAGCAGACCATGCAAAAGTACTGACTTTTTGTTTTTGGGAGCTGGAAGAAGCCAGTAAGTCTCCTGTCGTCCAAGTAATTGCTTACCTTACCTGCTTCCAACACATGATTGGTAACCAGGGTTAGCCATTCTCTGCTTAAATCCATCGAGTTTTGTCACAAGACAAATAATGATGCTACAAGGCATGCAATGGGCTTATTTTGTTCCATATTCTTGGTTAATGGCCCTAAATTTCTTGAAGCGGTCTCTCATGGCTGCTTTAACCAGATGTTTTCTATAGCTGCCATGGTTTGCTGACTGGCAAATGACTGTACTGTATATATGCACTACATTTTTAACACAGGCATACCTTAAGCTGCATAGTAAATGCTTGTTGAATTTTCTGCTGTTATTTTGATATTGAATTCCTTTGCTTTGTTTTATGTCAAAAGTTCTGTTGATGGGAAGTGCACAGTGCAGCACCACATTATTGGCGATCATAATTTTTTGTGTTCATTACACTGTCATGAAATTACTACGCTTTAATGTATTCTATTTCACTTTATTGGCCTAAGATGTTAAAAAACGAAAAACTTTTGTCAGGTTTTTGATATTATGTCTATGCCAACTTGAAAAAGATGTCTTTGTTTGCTGAAGCATCAGTCACGAGCTCATAAGTTCCATCTTTTGTGAATTGATGTTATCACTCCTGCACGGTCTTTTTGCGATGGAATTTGTCACTCCCACCATAGTTCAAAAACGATTCTAGCTCCCTGACTATTTTACCCAGAGTTCTGAACTTGTGTTTTTAATGTCAGTAATGCTGCTTACATCCCAACGCATCATCAGCGAGTGTGCTGGCTGCAGACGCAGCTGAGTGTTTTGCCGGCTGTCGTATCGAACTGTCGCTTCCAACATTCGGTTCGGCTTCCTGTATTGTGAGTCGGACCTGGGGATGCACGACGCTCAGCCAAGAGCCGTTTTGCTGCTTTTGTAACGAGTAGGACATGCGATTTTCCTATCCTTATTTCGCACATCGGGACATGTTTGTTCAGCAGACGAGTCATTACACGAATGAACGGGTTCCGCTGGTCGTCTGGTAAGTCGGACTGCATTATTTGTATCCAATCAGGTCCAGTTAGGCCGTGGAAAAACACGGTCCGTTCTTTTACGCGATATGATCAAGTGCGTCTGATAGAGGTCTTAATCGGCGGTGCTGCATGGTGACTGGCTGCAGGACCAGTTGGTTATCACCGCAGTTGCTTGGTGCCATGAAAATTCTGTTCACCAAAGCTGTTCAGTTCGTGATGGTTGCATCCAGCAGTTACTCTATAGTTGGGCGGGTCACTATCTGTTGAAGACACAATCTGTTCACCATATTTATCCTCAGAGATGAAGAGATGTCTCTTAAACAAAAAGCCATGTGGCTTTATTAAGTTGGTTTTGAAGTCTCCGACAAGCAGGATATGTCCGTTATGTATTGCTGGAAGTACTGTATAACCCCTGGAGGCCAGTAAAGCCACTTATAGAATGAATCGGTTCTTCCATACCTGACATTTCATCCACATGCTTTCCGACCTTGGATTTTGACGCGTAACCAGGAGTCGGAACTTCCTCGTCGAATAATTGTCTCGCATAACAATCAGAAGCCCTTTTGAATCCCCTTTTATCGCTCTTTGCCTCTTCGCGGAACTGCGTAGCCGCCCTAAGTCATTCGATCTGGTGTGTTTCTTGGCGACCAAGTTTTGTTCAACGATCAATGTCAAATAGATAAGACAGAGTCGTCTTATTCGTCAGAGAAAAAAACATGAAAATAGAGATATAGTTGGGTTGATATTTCGACAACATGCCTTTGTCGAAACAATGGCAGAAGTGAATTCAAAACTGCCTGCCAATAATCCTACTCCATTTTTCAGTTTTTTTAAACAGCAAGCCACAGCTATAGCAGGACACCAACATCCAGTGGCTTAAACGGAGAGCGATTGCCAGCTTTTACCACGATACAATGCCTATCTAAGAATTAGAATACCCGAAAATGCGTGTACATGCAAACAAAGTGTGCGTGTCGATATGTCAGTAATCTTTGCCGCTTATTCGAACACAAAACTCACAAAAGTCTTGTATGATTTTGTTCACCATGACCTTCAAAAGTTCAAACAAGGTCACTGACCTTAAATGGGTATGTAACCTTTTGCTTAGAACAGGTGTCTAGAACCTGGAGGCACTTTGGAGACTGGCCTGGAGTTTGACCCTGTTTGACCTTATTTGACCCGAAGGTCATAACCTGCAAACCTCAAGCTTTGACCTAAGGGATTTCACGTACAGATCAATACACCCTGTGAATTTGGCGTCTTTAGCTCTCTTATTTTCTAAGATCTCAGTGGGTCAAATTGACCCCCTCCACTCGTGCGAAGGGTATCCAACCGGCCGCCCGGCGCGTGTTAAGAAAAGCACAAAAACGTAGCGAATGAGTACAACTAAACAGCTTAAATTCACGAATAATAAAGATGCAAGAATACCACCAGAAAGGGTCAAACCATGAGTGCGTAAAGATATTTGGCTCCGTAAGCACTTCCAGCCCTGACACTGCCGTGACAGGGCTGGAAGTTGAGTTGAGTTGAGTCAGACGTGCTGAAGTACTACTAATGAGTGCTAGGGTGTCAATTTCGTACAGCTAGTTTGACACCACCTCAACGTCATGCATACGTTTCATGACGCCATGTAAAAATGGCGTATTGCGGAACACATTTACTTGATAGAGAAAACGTGCTGCCTTGAGCAGTCTTTTCCACTTAAAGTTATGCTATAGCTGACCGTGAGATTATTTCCTTATATCTGATGCTTGCTTCAATGTCTTGAAATACGGAACTTTTCTCTTGAACAGAATGCTCCACAATTTAAGATATTGAGGCAGGCGTCAGAGATGACCAAAAGGGCTCACCTGTAACTTCTGATATTGCTACGGTATTAGAGACGCTGCTTGACTGGCTGTGTCATAATTGCCACCGCAGCGAACGGGCCGACTCCCTTGTAGTATTTAATCTTGTCGCCAGATGGCTTGTTATTTTGTGCGCGACTGAAAACCCCGGAGATCGTTATATACGCTTTATAGGCCTATTCTAATGGCATTCTTGTTCAGTCAGGAACAACACCATTTTCAAAACTAGCAAGCCAAATTAAAGTTATTCTTGAACCCATGTCATGCTATATCAATAAACGATTGGCCTTGGAATAAAAGTATTACCAAGGTCAATTGTAAAAATGTAAGACAGCAGGTTGGAAGTTTGACGACTGTCCCAGTAATCTGAAGTTACCTGTAGTCACCTGGAAGCCATTTATAAGACTGGTACATAACTCTTATGTGCGACCGTACAGGCTGTGTGCGATTCAGGGAGGTTTTGATTTTTTTGTTTTGCTCTAACGTAAGCAAACGTTGTGCCGCCTACGTGCAACGTTTACACCTAAAGAATCCTGTTGATACATCGAGCGATGGAGTCTTACACAAAATGTGTGGGATGGCGCAAGGAAGTGTTAGGGGGACATAGCACAACTCAGCCGCATGGTTTACCGAAAAACGCAGCATCTGAAGTCATCGGGTCACCATCCTTTGTGAAAACCGGGGTCAGGTCTAAGACCGGTTTCGAGCTTGGTAAGAGCGAAAAGACCCAGGTATGTTGTGGACCGATGACATTTATTTTTCCTTGCCAATATTAGCAGGGTATCGAACACAATAGCCCCGCGCCTGCGTGAGGCACACGACGCAGCCAATCGCGTTCTAGAGCTTCTGCTTTCGCCAGCAGCACGAGCCGGGATCGATGACGCGCACGACGCTGGCCGACGACGGCGGCGCCGGCGGCCCCTGTCAGTCGATCGTGCCCCGGGCTGCCCGCCAGTGAGCGTCTGTCAAGCTGCGCTGGGTGCGGGCGGCCGCTGCAGACAGCCGGAGGCACTGGCGCTCCGCAGCGGCATGCGAGAAGACCGGGAGCGATCGACGGACTGAAACTGCCAGCGCTGTCGAGGATACTTCTCCTTGAGGCTCGAGGGGACGTGTTGGAGCGAGGCTGTGAGATACGCAGGAAGGTAGGTACTTCTGTGAATATGCGGCGGAGATAGTTCGGCGAGGATCGATGCTGTGCCGCCGTTTCTTCGGAGAAAACTGATCGGTGCGGGCGCCGGTCGTGAACGACGCCGCGTCCTCTCGCCAATCAGCCGCGCCTGGTCTTGGAACTGCTACTGCCGGCTTTTCATCGGTGACGTTTCCACAGGTCACCATACACGATATTGCACAAGAGCGAGTCGTCGTAGTTTTTACGCTTGCGTAATATAGCGGTGATGACAGTTGCCATTCGCCCATTCGGAACCTCCATCGGCTATGTCCCCGTGCCCTCCAATCTCCGTCATCTGCATCAGCTGCTGACACCTAACCGGGCCCTTTCTCCAGCGCTGGGCGGCTACACAATGACCGCCAGGCAGTACCAGGTGCCGCCGCAGCTGGAAGCGTTACTGCTAGAGTTTACGGTGAACGTGCTGGTGAGCCAGCCGGCCGACCTGGTCGCCTTTGCCGTGCAGTATTTCAGCCGGCTACGGCGAGGCAGCAGCAGCAACCAGCTATCGCCGGCAGTTAATAGCAGACACGAGTCGGTTTCCGACCTCGACTCGGTCATCTCTGAGGATGAAGGTAAGTGGCTGGGGAATAAGTTACGGGTGTGGACTGAAGACGTTGCTGGGATGGGGCGGTGCAGATACTCGTGTAAGGCCAGGAACGTGCAGGATAGTCTGTGAGACGCGATACAGGTTCAAAGGTCTGAGATGGTACACGTAGTGGTGTTAGGGTGAAAGGATCGAAGTGTTACGGTGCAGCAGCGCGATTGGGATGCAAATGAGGGCAGGGGGGGATTAAGAACGGCAGTCAAAGCTGTGAGATAATGCAAAGAGCTGTTCCGTGGGCAAAACACAATTGCTTCGCCTATCGACACATGCAACACCTGAGGTCTCTAGTGTCACCATGCCTTGCGTAAAGAAGGGGCCGACGAATGCTTCCCGCAGCGGGCATCAAAACTCAGAAAGTTCGCCACCAATAGTAACCGGTAGACTATTCGGCCACTTACGCTCTCTTTACCGCGAAACTTCGAGGCGTTGGGTGTTGGAAGCAGATGTAACGGGTGCGTATGTTGTGGATATTGTGTGCTCGCAGTCACAATGCAGCGACGCAGACGGGCGTGGGATGGCCAACAGGGAGGTATGTCGGAGATGCGGACGTGTATGCATACAGACATCACAGCACAACTGGACGTCGAGGAGGCAGGGAGGTGTAGGATGGTGCACGAGGAGATCTGAGAGGATGGGGCACGTTTTACAAAGACGCATGAAGAAGGTAGGAAATGAGATATCCGGAGAGATGGATAAACCTCGAGGCGCACACATGCGGGGAAATGTGAAGAGGAGATACCGCAGCCAACGCCTCTTTAAATGAAAAATCAAGTGGCGGCATCTGCGAAACAGAACACATGTCCTACTTCTTTGCTGTTTTGAGCGACAGCTTGCGTAGCACAGAGCATTCGTCGTGCGAACGCGGGATGAAAATGCCACATGGTTACTCAACGTCACTGGTTTATGTGATGCTAAGAATCAAACGTCGCGTGGCATATATCTAAATACAGCTGACAATCCCATACAACTGCTAAGAGATTACTGAGATGGTCTACAGCACATCAAGTTGGCAGTGAGAAAACTTATTGACCTTAATTGATGTTGCTCGCACTATTGCACCACTGCGTACTTGCACGGTTCGACCCGTTACAGCATGGACTGTTTTCGTGGCATCAACTTTGGCGCGGGGGGCATTCAATGCAGCTGCGATCTGAAACCGTGACTCCATTTTATCGTTCTTCAAATGCAACCATATAGCCTAAAATAACATCGACTTGTGGGACTAGTGTTTGCTTCTTGCTTGATGGACAGTGCTGAAAGGCGTTTTGATGGCGGACTGATTACCGTGCTGGTAATAAGCGATAGAGCAAACATCCTGCATGCTTTGCAATGCACATGTTTACAGTGCTTCATACAGGTTAGCTTCGCAGCAATTTTCTTGTATTTTATGCAAATAAATGGACACCAAACATTCTTATACGGCTAGAACCGAACACAGCAACGAAATGTTTGTTTTTTTCGGTGAATAAGCTGCAATCAATGATCTAATATTAGTCCAGAGTTCTTAAGCCGACAGATATCGACCTTCCATAGATTTCACTATCAAGTTTTTTTACCTTGCCTGAATCGGTTTACAGCTAAAGTTATGCAAAATACACTGACTTGAGACTCGAATAAATAGACAATAAAAATATAATGAGCCACAATAAGGACTCAACACGGCCAAGAAAGCAAGACAGGTAGCGCAACACAAAAACACCACATCTATGGCGGCGTTATTTTGACATATTTACTTGTGTTGTATTTTTATGAGTCTCAGAGCAAGTTGTTTTGCACTCGACGTTCACGATGCTAGAAGGTACTGCTTAAACGACGTTGCGCAGCAAAACATTAGTTGCATTGTCAATACTCAATGACGCATTCGAGTATTTACTTTTGAGAATTAACAACGCAAGCAATGTTTGCTTGCTAACGTCGTATAATCAGTGCCTCTTTCTGTATCTAATTTCAGTAGCTGTCAGTGCAAGAACTCTGAAGCTATCATATCAAGAAACCAGGAGCTCCATGCCTTTCTTTCTAATATCAAGGAGGCATGTGCCTGGAGCCTCTCCCCCAAAGGATACCAGGGTTCCCTTAACATGGAACGATAAGGGATCCACCCTTGCGATCCAAGCATATGTCTAAATTATCCAGTATCATTAAAGTAATCAGGCTGGAAGTTCCCTTAGATGGGGATCACGAGCTCATTCATGGCGTCCGTGAAAGAGCGTAAGTGTATTTCTATAGCATGCCCAAAAACCTCGACAAAAATATGCCGTATGCCGCCTTCACAAATTTCCATTACTTTTTGTCCGACATTTATGCCATCAGGGTATTTTTGGAAACCCCGTTGAGGCCACCGGTACTTTTTAACGCTTATTTGATCAGACAAACCATCACACCAACTAGCATCGATGCAGCCTCGTGGAATATGTGATTGCTGCAACCTTGAATGTTTTGCTTGAATACGTGTTTGCAAGCCATTAGGAACAAATTGGGATTGCATGGATCCAGACCCCGCGGTGGTGAGTATTTGACACAAGTACCTGCTCAAACTTTAACTGAATGTATGTACTTGACGTGGATTACTTTTATCATATACCAGTTTTCGAAAGTCGGTACACATACTAACCGATTTATGTATATGTCCCGATGCGTAAGTGCACGGTATATACCATGTGCCGTACTTGTGGCTTGACTGAATCAGAATCAACTCTGGCACCGACCAATTCCCATCAAAACAGAGGGGAATCGATTGCTTTGATATTGTTGTGTGAGTAGGAGTCAGGGTTAAATTAAACGCGTCATCAAATAATCGAATGATATGCAAACGGAACTAGCAGGAAACTGTACTGTTACCGAATCAAACGTCCCACTTATGCTCTTATGACGACCATATAACGGGTTATCCTCAAAATGCTGGCACGAGAATCGGATGCATCTGAATCGATTCCAGAATTGAGCCAGATATCCAAGAGGTGGAATCGGAGTCGGTCTATAGTTACTCTAAGATGCTCGGATTCAGAGTGGGGGTCAGCCACACCCATCGTGAATCTGAGTCGATATGGATTCCGCCAAAGAGGAATCAAGCATACGTCTGCCAGACGTTCGTCAAGTTAGATCGATATTACACATCCACATTCCCGTGTCACATTCGATCTACCCACCAATTACAATGAAATTTAGCTCACAGATAGAGCTTATTATGTCATTGACGAATAGACAAGTCACTAAATGTGACATCCAAAAACAAACGAGTTATTAAAGATAAAATATCAAGGTCGTTCAAGGTCATTGCTTAGTGAACCTTCCTGGACTTGACAAACTTCGACCCAATTTGGTTTGTTGATAGAACAAAACACTCCAACTAATAAAATCACATTTTCCAAATGTGAGAATTAAAGCCACGCCCGTAAAGAACCATAGAAATTCAAGGTCACTCAAAGTCGGACTCTTTCGATTGCTCTGAAATTTGGCAAAAACACTCACATCGTTTTGCTCCACCTAGCCTTCAAATATTAGGTTGTGACATTCAAACATTCGTCTTCCAGAGGCGTTCAAACCTTGGAAATAACGGTCTCGCACTTGTTAACATATGTACATTCCATGCCAGTAAAATGGCAGAGAGACCTTTTCCATCACCTTGCAATTTGGCACAAATATGTACCATGCACATATACAGTTTTTCATTAAGTGGCAACTTGTGACATTTCCAATCACGCATTCCAGAGACTCTCAAACAATGGGATATATCACATATCTCTAAAACAACACAAACAGCTTCGTAATATGCCACCAAGACCAAACAATGCATCTCCTATGATGTAATTAGCCGTTGTCTCTCATATGATGTGTCATATGACGATACGACATGCAAAATGTGACGTACAAATCAAAAATGTCACATTCGATACCGGTTTTCACACATTCGCCGACTCCTCTGATTGATTTGAAATTCGCAGCAAATAATTACCTTACATGGTTCATATATAGCATCATGTTTGGTGGCTAGGTGTTGCCTAGCAGCGTTTTAAGGTTGCGCGGGAGATAGTGTGCCAGGAAGTGACTCCTGACAAAGGGACGTTTGCGAACAAGAGCCGAAAATCCCCCTATTGAGAGTTACGAATGCCGTAATCTGGCAACAACAAGTTTCGCGGGCTGGTGGTGCAGTGATACTGAACAGGTGGCTGTGTACAAAACGTGAGACGAGCGTGACCACGTCTCAAACGCACCAGGACCGCCACGCTCTGCTTGTCTTCCTGACATCACGTCGCCCATGGTTAGAATATGGGTTTGATTTCATGCATGTGACTGGCATGCAAAATATTCCACTGATTCTGCAAATACCAAACGAACCAAACCTTCGATAAAAAGAGCATCTAGTGTCAGAGACGGTTCCCGGGGGTTCCTCTGTAGGCAGATGCCTCGGTTCGCAGGGGTATCGGCGAAGACACTTTCCGCGATATCACAACGCCCTGGTGTCCATGGGAAGGACATGTTTTTGGGCAGGTGGCGGAAGCAATGTCATGAATGTCATACATTCCGTGGTCAATGCCTCTGGAAGACGGGCGTTTGAATCTCATAGCATAATATTTGGTGGCTAAGTGGAGCCATGTAAGGAGAAAATTTGTACGAAATTTCAAAGCAATTAGAGGAGTCCGCGAATGCGTGAAAACCGGCATCGGATGTGACATTTTTGACTTGCACGTCACATTTTGCATGCCGTACCGTCATATGGCACATCATATGAGAGGCAACAGCTAATTACATGAAAGGAGAAGCAATGCTCCGCATTCCTTGGTCTTGATGGCATATTACGACACTGTTTGTATCCTTTAGAGATATGTCATATATCCCATTGTTTGAGAGCCTCTGAAATGCGTAAATTCAAATGTCACAAATTGCCACTCGGTGAAAAACTGTATACGTACATGGTACACATTTTTGCCCAATTTCAAGATGAGCGAAGGAGTCCCTCGTCCATTTAGTTGACATATGACAATTACATCATAGGAGATGCATTGTTCAGTATTCTTTGGTGTTGGTGGCATATCACGACGCTGGATGTCTCGTTTTAGAGATATAACATATATCCCCTTGTTTGAGAGCCTCTGGAATAAGTAAATTCAAATGTCACAAATTTCCACTTGGTAAAAAAACTGTATACGTACATAGTACACATTTTTGCCCAATTTCGAGGTGCTCGAAGGAGTCTCTCGTGCATTTAGTTGACATACAATGTGTATATGTTAACATGTGCGACGCTGTCATTTTCAAGGTTTGAATGCCTCTGGAAGACGAACGTTTGAATGTCACACCATAAAATTTGGTGACTAGGTAGAACCATATAAGGTGATTATTTGTGGCGAATTTCAAAGCAGTCAGAGGAGTCGGCGAATGTGTGAAAACCGGTATCGAATGTGACATTTTTTATTTGTACGTCACACTTTGCATGCCGTACCGTCATATGGCACGTCATATGAGAGGTAACGGCTAATTATATCATAGGAGATGCATTGTGCAGCATTCCTTGGTCTTGATGGCATATTACGACGCTGGATGTCTCGTTTTAGAGATATGTGATATATCCCATTGTTTGAGAGCTTCTGGAATGCGTGATGGAAATATCACAAACTGTCACTTAATGAAAAACTCTACATGTACATGGTACATATTTGTGCCAAATTGCAAGGTGATGGAACAGGTCTCTCTGCCATTTTACTGACATGAAATGTATATATGTTAACACGTGCGAGGCCGTCATTTCCAAGATTTGAACGCCTCGGGAAGACGAATGTTTGAATGTCACGACCTAATATTTGGAGACTAGGTGAAGCGATGCGATATGAATGTTTTTGCCAATCTTTAAAGCAATCGAATGAGTCCGATTTTGAGTGACCTTGAACTTGTATGTTTTTTACGGGCGTAGTTTTAAGTGTCACATTTGGAAAATGTGGTTTCATTTATTGGAATGCTCTTTTCTATCAACAAACTGGGTCGAAATCTGTCGAGTCCAGGAAGGTTCACTAAGCAATGACCCTGAACAAGCTTGAACTTTGATATTTGATAACTCCTTTGCTTTGGGATGTCACACTTAGTGACTTGTACATTCAATGGCATAATTAGCTTTATCTGTGAGCTAAATTTCATTGTAATTAGTGAGTAGATCGAATGTGACACGCGAATGTGAATGTGCAATATTGATCTAACTTGACGAACGTGTCTGCCAGGCACCGTGCGTGGGAGGCGCTTTGCTACGGGTGGTAGTTGGTCTGACAACTTATTCTCCGCAGCACCACCAAAGAGCTGCGCCAGCCGGCGAAAATCGGTATTCGCGGAGGCGTACAACCCGGAGGAGGACGACGACGAAACCCTTAAAGTGAGTGCAGGGCAGCACGGAGCCGCCGGGGCTTCACGGCGATGGCAGAACTTAGAGCTGTTTACCTTTTGGCCGATTCTAACGTACAGACGACCGTTAAATATATCAAAGAGCATACAAATGTTGGAGATTATCACGCGAAACAGTGTACGGCGCCTGGTAATTGTGAAGCTTTGCAAGCCGAGTCTGTGGTAACCAGTCGTTGTGAATGTGACATGGACCCGTGTACTTCACCCTACATGACAGCCTGTCCCTATGTAAATTGCATCGACTCATCATGGAAAATCTGTGCCACGGATCACGAACGCTTCCTGAAACATCCATTGTTTGATAAAAGGCGACATGTCACGTCATGTGCACCGCCGTCGGATCTGACGGCGCTGCGGAGCACCAGGCCCAGCTGCCAGCCAACTGCCGGCCGGCACCGTATTTCCCCGGCGTGATCGCTGAAGGGTCAGAGCACGCTGAGCCCTTGTTACGGCTCGGGAGATCGAGTGCAGCTCAAAGGCGCTGATCCGATGGAGGCACCGGTGACGGAATAAGCTTTTCAACGGCGGGTATCGACGGGAATTTGATTGGGTGCGACGCGCAGCTTTTGCTGAGTGGGCACACAATCTGCGACGATCGACACCCATGCCCTTTATCTCACTTTATACGACGTCCGTTATTTTTTTCAGCCACATTGAGGGCAGCCAGCTCCCAGGTGATTGACGGTCAATGTAAGCGCAGTGTAAAGCTGGATGGCTTTCTTGAACCAGTGGCACAAGCCACACGTCGCTTAACGGACTCTGCATCTGGGTCAACACCATCTCAGAGATACAGAAACGGACTCTGCATCTGGGTCAACACCATCTCAGAGATACAGAAACGGACTCTGCATCTGGGTCAACACCATCTCAGAGATACAGAAACGGACTCTGCATCTGGGTCAACACCATCTCAGAGATACAGAAACGGACTCTGCATCTGGGTCAACACCATCTCAGAGATACAGAAACGGACTCTGCATCTGGGTCAACACCATCTCAGAGATACAGAAACGGACTCTGCATCTTGGTCAACACCATCTCAGAGATACAGAAACGGACTCTGCATCTGGGTCAACACCATCTCAGAGATACAGAAACGGACTCTGCATCTGGGTCAACACCATCTCAGAGATACAGAAACGGACTCTGCATCTGGGTCAACACCATCTCAGAGATACAGAAACGGACTCTGCATCTGGGTCAACACCATCTCAGAGATACAGAAACGGACTCTGCATCTGGGTCAACACCATCTCAGAGATACAGAAACGGACTCTGCATCTGGGTCAACACCATCTCAGAGATACAGAAACGGACTCTGCATCTGGGTCAACACCATCTCAGAGATACAGAAACGGACTCTGCATCTGGGTCAACACCATCTCAGAGATACAGAAACGGACTCTGCATCTGGGTCAACACCATCTCAGAGATACAGAAACGGACTCTGCATCTGGGTCAACACCATCTCAGAGATACAGAAACGGACTCTGCATCTGGGTCAACACCATCTCAGAGATACAGAAACGGACTCTGCATCTGGGTCAACACCATCTCAGAGATACAGAAACGGACTCTGCATCTGGGTCAACACCATCTCAGAGATACAGAAACGGACTCTGCATCTGGGTCAACACCATCTCAGAGATACAGAAACGGACTCTGCATCTGGGTCAGCACCATCTCAGAGATACAGAAACGGACTCTGCATCTGGGTCAGCACCATCTCAGAGATACAGAAACGCGAAGCATGTCTGGCTTCTTTGTCGCGCCAGTAAGACATGTTGCTAATTTAACCGGTTATTGTTTGCAACCGCAAAGCAGTGAAAGGAAGTTTAAACCACATTTTTACACCGGGGTACAAACGATGTCCGCGAACACCGTATTGCAGATGTTCATGATATGTTACAAATATTGTTATTACGTCCGGCATTGTTATATTTCTACACTGGTAGATGTCTATACTCATTGCACAACTCACACGGGACCCACACACACCAAAAAACATTTACTTTTGCTGACTGGCGGTCACGGTGATGGAAAGATGGGTATATCGCTTACAGCCATGGTCGTATAGCCTTCCTTATGGTAGTGCATCGTGCTCCATCTAGCTGGGAACATGGCCTCCCCACTTGACATTGTTACTTCAAACATCTCGGGGCAAATATGGATGCAGTTGCTGCTGTATGTACAATTCAAATGAACCTTCGCACTCCGTCTGCAAGCACGAATCGGTAATCCCTCGGTCAGTTCTGTTGCTTCAAACAACTCATTATAATCTCCTGCACATTGGTGAGGGGCTCTTACTTCCATTGCACGTCACGTCATGTCACGTCGGTAAACAGATCTGAAAAGATCAACAGGGCCGGCTGCACCTATAACGAGGCATAAGGGATGAGACGGGTGCTGTGGGACGGTGGCCCCCATGCTCCGCGCGCCTCTGAATCCGGCTCCGGCAACTAATCCGGTGTGTCCGAATGACGGTCAAGTAGGCGGACGGAGCGTCGTTTTCAGTCACACTATAACGCCACGTTTTGGCCCTGCTGCAAAACCTTTCTGCGCCGCAATTACCGCGACAAGCTGTGCTTGTGGGCGTCGTTTACTGGACCGGTTCACATTTACGGGTGTCCGGACGCTTACGGGGCTGGGACTTTGGAACCCGTAGACTCGGAATTCGCTATGCAATTAGTCATGCAATGTTGTCATGCGTTCAGCTCAGCTAAGGCGCATGAGCTCAGCACCGAGTGTAGTCGGCCTAAATCAGTTCAAATAAATCAATAAAAAACATTCCATGTTTTTGGTGGAAAATAGTCAAATTATTGTAGGGATGCCAGCTTCATTTGCAATGCGGTCTCCGTTGATCAAATTATCTTAAGTTGCTGCGGCAAACCGGCTTTGCACTTCTCATCTGCCAAGTGACGTGCGATCGTGATTTGCCTGGGGCTATGCGCCACTCGTGAACCTGAGTGAGCCCTGCTTTGTTGTGGGCTCGGATGACGGGGGTCGGAAAAGATAAAAAAAAAGCGAGAAAGCAATGGCCGGCTTACCCACCGCGTCCGATGCGTGAGCCTCCCAGTTACCACTTCCAGGTCTGAGAGGATAGCGTTCAGGTGCTATATGGTTGGAGGTTTTTGTGCCCCGTGCTTTTCAGCAATCTTCTGATGCTGGAGGCGCTAAAACACCTGCTGCGTTCACATCCCTTCTAGGTATTATATGAAATCAAATCGCACTAGATTAGGTTTCCCATAAAAGAGAGCCTTATTGTGTTTGGGCTGGGTACGGCAACGTAATAGCTGTCAGTTTACTCGCGATAATGGACATAAAAGACTAGTGGTGATTGCACATTTGTTTACTACTACCGGCGGCTGGGGCATGCCAGATGGCCCCTTCCCTTTCAGAAGTGCACCAAAAAGGGAATGTTTGGCAAACGGCTCTGCTTCATATTGAGTGTTGAAAGGGCGGACCGTAAGGTGCGTGACGACGACCCCCCATGAATGCGTGCTATGGCTGCAGGCTCACGATGACATGACGCCAGGGCGCTGCGTACTGTGTGCGTGTCACGCAGCTCCTCTCCCAATGAGTCCAGCGCTGCACTCCTCTGCCCGCGTCCCCTGCACCCCTCTGCACCCCCCTGCACCCCTCTGCACCCCCTGCACCCCGGTGCAGCCGGAGTGCCCGCCGCGGCCGCAGAGTCTGGTTTTGCTGATCCAACGGCAGGACTGCGACAGACGCGCTACCCAGCTAGTCGTGATGGTGTATCATAACCCTTTGGGCATCATCACCCACTATGCACATGTTTCACCTAGACACCGGGTGCGTGGCTGTGGTGAACAGTGCGCTTTCTGTCCATGCTTCACGCGTTGCAGAGGCCGAAACTGGTCCACGGATGCCTGCAAATCTTCTGACATTACTAGCTCCATATCAGTTTTCAACTAGAATGAAAGTAGGTGAACCGGCAGGAACGGTTCTTTTAGTGGCATTTTTGCCACCCTAGCATTTTTGCTGTCCTTCTCATAGCGGAACTGTGTTGATTGGGCTGGCATTCCAGTCGTGCTGACGAGGCTATTTCTCGGAACATAGCATTGGGTGGCCCTGCGTGACGGCTCGCTTGAGCATCAAATTTCACAAACGGAGCCTGTGCTTTTAGACACGGACCGAGTGCTCTGGTTGGCAGATTGCTGCTGTATCACTCCAGTTCATCACATAGCTCCGAAAAAGTGTGCAGGTCCAAGCCAAATGCTCAAACAATGAAATGCAAACCTAACTCGCAGTTTTTGTATTTGTGCAATGAGAAGACCATTCGCTGACATTCATCTTGAATTGAGTAGTATGAGTAAGCAGTAATTCTCTCCCAGTAGAAAACTCAATTTTTTATAATTTATGTAGTTAGCCAGGTAAGCACACCACTACAGCAGTTAATTAACGCGCAATATCCGTGAATTTGGTTCCACTCACTATAAGTTATTAACAGTCATTATTCGTAACCATTACAAACATGTCTTAATGATCGCTAATTCACCACTAAAAGCGTTGGTATCGCTACAACCCTTGCCTGCCGCGTTTGCGCGAAAAGCATCGCTAGCTGGCATGTCGTCCATCCCCAGGCGGTGGTGGTCCCCAAGTCTGACTAGCCGGCACGTCGTCCGTCCCTAGGCGGTGATGTACCCCGAGTCTGACTAGCTGGTACATCGTCCGTCCCTAGGCGGTGATGTATCCCAAGTCTTACTAGCTGGTATGTCGTCCGTTCTTTGGCGGTGATGTACCTCAAGCTGCGCAGCTGGTATGTCATCCGTCCCCAGACGGTGGTGTACCTAAAGTCTGACTAGCTGGTATGCCATCCGCCCCTAGGCGCTCGTGTACCCCAAGTCTGACTACCCGGTATATCGTCCGTCCCCAGGCAGTGGTGTACCCCAAGTTTGACTGGCTGGTGTGCCGTCCGTCCCTAGGCGGTCATGTACCCCAAGTTTGACTGGCTGGTATATCGTCCGTCCCCAGGCGCTAGTGTACCCCAAGCCTGACTACCTGGTATGTCGTCCATCCCCATGCAGTGGTGTACCCCAAGTTTAACTAGCTGGTGTGCCGTCTGTTCCCAGGCGGTCTTGTACCCCAAGTTTGACAAGCTGGTGTGCCGTCTGTCCCCAGGCGGTGGTGTACCCCAAATCTGACGAGCAGCGCGCCAGACTTGCGGACGCCGTCCGCAACATCTTCCTGTTTCGCTCCCTGGACCCGGTAAGTGCGGCTGGTGCGTCCCGCTCAAGGCGTTTTTGGACTCTCCACTTGATAATAATGGCATTGTTTGGTAAATAGTAGCGTGCGGTAGGCATGACTCGTCTTCGGGTGCGTCCTCAAATCCATGCTGATCCACATCGTCTTCAGAGATGTCACGAACTTTGGAGACCAGTGAAGGTCTTAAGAGGTTAGGGGCTTCCTTTGTTATGGTATTCTGGAGTTCTTCGTAGGTCTAATTTACTGAATCTCGTAGATCAGCGTTTTCCCCGAATGCTGAATCCGTTCTGGCTTAATGCGCCAAGATTGTATTTCCCAGGATAATTCGGATCCATCCATCACCTTTCAACGCGGTTTGACAAAACGCGGAGTACATAATGTTCTCCTTATAATGAACTTCTTAACTGGCTTGAACTTGCCATCTAATGGTTCGAAAGGTGCTGATCAATTTCGACCAGCTAATTTTCAAGCCCAATCCGGTTCTGCCCGTACGTTTTATAAGTTTTTTACATCAAACAATTGATACCATGAGCAATGCTATACTTTTTGCATTTGTCCAGCTCATCAAAACCATCCGTTCGTTTGACAGACACCGTAAATTTCCACTGTGCAGTTATTGTTGACCTGAACTTCCAACACATTCGTGGCCAAGGCCTTTTTGGTCTGTAAAGTCTGTTCAGACAGCTTGTTTCACCTACGTGTGGTTGCTTTCACTTGTGCATTTCCGCACATATGTTTATTTTTATGTAAATAATTCACTCGAGCAAAAACGTTCTGTGTCGCAAAATATGCGCGATTTTCAGCGCATCTAAAAGCCCAAACTTTATTGGATTATGCGAGTACGCGGGTCGAGTCAGTGGTACTTAAACTGTGATTATGTTCCCACGTTAAAAACTTATTTTTTCCAACCTGCCCTACGCGCTCTTTATCATTTCTGTGTTTTGAAGAAAGAAATAGTCGCTGCACGTCCTCGCGCAGCCCTTGTCACTGGGCACCAGCGTCTGAAAATGAATATTTTTGTCACTAATGATCGTGGGTTTACGCCATTTTCAGCAACATGAAGGTAATTTGTTTGAAATGCAGTGCTCCAAAAATTACGGAGCATCCAGCTGCAAATCGAATGATGCGACCGGTTCTTCCTGCGATATTGCAATGTCACCACAATTTCCTCAGCCCATTCAATTAAGATGGTAAGCGCAATCTCTCAAACTGTAAAAAAAAACTGAAGGCCACGGTACGAAAACGGATCAGGATTGGAAAGCATGGTGTCATAGCAATAAGAGACTCATGCAACAGCAAAAAGTGACAATTGTACCGGCAAAAGCATGAGTTGATGTGTGCAGACGATCACGTACTCCCGTGCGCAAACCATGTGTCCGCCGATTTGGAACATTTTCAGGAATGCTGCCATATCTTAGCAATCAGAGCAGCTAAGATCGTGAAACCAGCTGCATGACGCACATAAATAGATGGTTTGCGCCTCATTTCCAGATTTCAAGACTGTGCGATTCACCTTTGAGGCAGTAACTGACCCAAAGGCGTTTATTGCCATCTCTCCCGGAGCTGGCTTGGAATGCAGTATACTATGGTCTAAATCGAAGAAAATTGAACCGGAAAACCACAAAGGAATGCACTACATAGTCCCGTTTGTTGTAACTAACACCCACACAAAGTACTTATATTTTATTATTATTTTGCGGTCAGTATGCCGAATATATTGAAAGCACCGGGCTCGACGAGAACCAAAGAAGCTCATTTCAAGTCATTGTAAATTTGTCAGCTACCATGTGAATGCAAGGCCAGCAGACTTCCGTTTGTTGAATTCCCGTCAAAGACGAAACTCCCGACGCACTACTTCAACCCATTTGTGTGGGTTTCCGTGTATGGTTCCATAAGCATAGCTGACACCCTGCACGTAACAACAAACGTCTGTCATGACCTCCTCGTTCGTCCCACATCGCGCAAGGTGTCCTAAGCATATCACAATATCCTTTGCCAGCTATTATCTCCACTTTTCAAACGTACACATTTGTGATTCGGCACATGGAGTGCGCAGGACTTAGCTTGGCGCGTGGCATAGCTATCAGCTCAGGCGTTACGCGGTCCACAAATCGTCTGCATTGCCATTTATCTGTGAAGCAATGCGGCCAAAATCTTCAGCTTCGCTGGCCGTAACGTTGTTTGAAGCGCATCGCTGAAGGCTCCCGGTCATGTCAGACGATCCGGAGACCAGCTGGCCCTCAGTCGAGCACTAGATGTTCAATTACATCTCCGTGACCTTTCTGTCGGGTCTTATTGGACTTCACTCGATCCCATCAAGCTTGACATTTGTTCATCTAAATAAGGCGAGTCGAAAGATCACGTCGTAACTGTTGCACCATCTTGACACGTGTCTGGAATAGCGAACGCTGAAAGCGTGACAGTACCACCCAACGATGGACAGGAATAGCCGATCTGTAAGAGCTGGACAGTTCAGTGACCCGGTACGAAATACGCCGGTGCGAAAATGAGGCTCTGAATAGTAAGCTTTAAGCTTTAAAGCTTTTTTATTTTATCTATTTATTTTATTTTATTATTTTTTATTTTAGTTTTTATTATTGCATTATTGTTATATATTTATTCATTTTAAAGATTTCATTTTAAGCTTTTAAGCTTCACTTGTGTTAGTGTTGTTGCAATTTTTGAGCGCACAGCAATAATAACTATGTTATGTTTGTATGTACATAATGCTCTTCTATACTTATTTTCGCAGCCCCGGACTTTGGTCTCACTCTTATTGCCCAAGCTGTTCATCCGCAGCGTCGAATCTCAGTTTAGGAGAACCAGCAGAAGAAAGGCTTGCGGAAGACGGTGATGACGGATTTTGATTCCCATTGCTCAGCTCTGCGGGCGTTTTGGTGTGTTGTGGGTTTGACCAACCATCTCCACCACCTTGAGTGATACATACGGCGGCTCGAAGGGTGACTGACGTCTGCCGGTGCTCCGCCACCAGGCCCAGATTCAGGAGGTGCTGGATGCGATGTTTGAGAAGAAGGTGTCCCCTGGTGAGGACGTCATTCGACAGGGCGACGACGGTGACAACTTCTACGTCATCGAGAGGTGAGACAGTTGGAGACTTGTACATGGTGATGCGACTTTCCCCGTGACGAGGCCATAACGAGCTCATCAGTAGAGGAGACGTCGGCCAGAGAGGTGAGCCAGCTGGGGAGTTGTACATGGTGATGCGACTTTCCCCGTGACGAGGCCATAACGAGCTCATCAGTAGAGGAGACGTCGGCCAGAGGGGTGAGCCAGCTGGGGAGTTGTACATGGTGATGCGACTTTCCCCGTGACGAGGCCATAACGAGCTCATCAGTAGAGGAGACGTCGGCCAGAGGGGTGAGCCAGCTGGGGAGTTGTACATGGTGATGCGACTTTCCCCGTGACGAGGCCATAACGAGCTCACCAGTACAGAAGCCGTCGGCCAGAGGGGTGAGCCAGCTGGGGAGTTGTACATGGTGATGCGACTTTTCCCATGACGAGGCCATAACGAGCTCACCGGAATAGAAGCCGTCGGCCAGAGAGGTGAGCCAGCTGGGGAGTTGTACATGGTGATGCGACTTTCCCATGACGAGGCCATAACGAGCTCACCAGTAGAGGAGCCGTCGGCCAGAGGTGAGCCAGCTGGGGAGTTGTACATGGTGATGCGACTTTCCCATGACGAGGCCAAAACGAGCTCACCAGTAGAGGAGCCGTCGGCCAGTTTTACGGCATTGGTGAGGGCTGGTACCGCAGTACCGTGATGCAGCTGGACGGGGCGGCGGGCACTATGAGATGTGGTGGGGGCTTGCTCCTCTGGATGCGGCGACAGACGTCATCGTGCGGAATTTGGTGGGAGTACACGCTTTAAGTGGAAGACGGTGGCAAGCTATGTGTTGGAAGGCGATGCCGAAAACCAGGGCGAAAGAGAGCACTTCGGCTTTTGGTGAAAGGCGATGCCATGGCTCTGTATTGGCTGGCTGGTGTAGCCAGCGCCATTTACACTAGTGAAGGCCAGATGCCTTTGATCTCACTGCAGTCCGGTGCAGCGGGTTGTGATGGGGGTTGGTGCAAGAATGTGCAGGGGAAGCTAGTGCTATGACATCTGGTCAGAGACAGCACCACTGGCTGGTTCAGGTCACTGTCACGGGTTGTGGTGAGAGCTGCTGAGACCCCGCACCGCAAGCGACGACTTACACACGCAAGGAGAGGTAGAGTGATTCTTAGAGGGGGAAAATGCTCCTGCTAATGAATTTGAGAGCCAGTCTTTCGTGGAGAACGCTGGAAATCCATGAAAGTGCTTTAAGGGGAGCGTGTGTAATGTTTTCGGTTTTCCAAATGCACCCCAAAGGTTGGTTTCGCAACTATCTATGGCCAAATTCGGTCCTTAAATGTACGTTTGGACGTTACAACAACTTTGAGTTATTTATTTTTATCGCAATGCTAAAAATGAACCAATCAGCGAGCAGGAAAGAACGAATGCACTGGTTTGTATGTGACGAGTAACTCCGCGCCAGTGACATGGCCATTACCTTGGTTGCTGCAGTCTCGTGCGTAAAGGGAGAGCACTGGTGGTATAGAGCGGTACGCAATTGGAGATTCCTTGCGTAATTCGAGACGGATAATATAATGTTCTGAACATGACTGGTACCAGCGACATCGCAGCAAAAATTTTAGTGCATGTGTCTTGTTATTTCGGACGCTAAATTCGGTGTACGTGCATTCGGAATTCGGTCAATAATCTCAGGATATATGAATCTTAGCCGCCTATAGCCGCTGCCAAAACAACGAAGAACAATCACATTTCCCTAGAGCCTAGTGCAGCCGATTGACACAACACGATACTTGTGCCTCTTATCTTACCACAAAGAAGGCCAACATAAATTAATCGCGGTGCGTATTAACTGACCAGCCTTACCTTACGCCCAACCCAGTACATCCGCAGCCCTCAGCTTAATGTAAACAAAACAACAACGACAAAGCATAGTCACCGCCGCCACCGCTGCGTTCGTAAGGTGCTGTTAGCGCTGACAAGCGACATCCTCGAAGAACCATTGGCTAGAGCCAACGATACCTTCTCAATGATGTCGATGCGTTTAGTAGTGAATATTACTTGGGGGCTACCCGATAACTTTGTTCTTCCATACAAACCAAAGAAAATTTGGGGCTGTGGCAATATCTCGTCAGTGGAGGCGACTTGGTGGCAACCAATGACGCCAAAAAAAATTATCGAAATTCTGTACCATCACACGTGCACGGTTAAAAATCGGAATTTGCCTAGACACACTCTCTTTAATGGAGATAGCGAAAGTTCCGGAAGCCACTGGCAAGCTATCTTTTTATTCTTCATTCTCAACAAAATCAATGCCGCAAGAGCTTTCACTGATACTGATCCGCGAATGAGATTACCAGCAGCCGTCTTACGGCAAGCTGATCAGCATCTTGAGCGCTGATCGACCCAGATCTGACCACTTCTCCACGATTCGAAACAGCCGCGGCACACCATCGACTCATATTTGTTAACCATTCAACATGTTAACGATCGCGTCAGTAATTATAAACAGCGGAGGAAAACGATTTGAGATGTCTTACCGTTGGTACAGGTATGCCAAAACAGCCGGCACAAGTCATGATCAGTCTGCAGTTTAGTTATTTCGTGTACGCAGGGCTGTGAGAGCCATTATTTACAATAAAAAAATCATGTTTCACTTATCCCGTGGAAAGCTTTCTCTTCCATCAACGGTTCAGAGTTGTGTGGCCGCCTCTGTAATCGCCAGCTTTGGTCCAGAATATATTCAGGTATGTTCTTCTGGAAAAAATGACCCGCCATTATATCCGTCAGGGCCTCTGCCATCTCTGCCACTACCCAGTAGTGACACCATTGGCGACGGCTGGAACACGTTGACAACTGTCAGGAATACCATGACTAAGCATCTGTGAATTTCGATACCAGTGTTGTGTTCTCACATTCTCAATGTTTTATGGCTCAGAACATCATTGACATTACACTTCTCTACTAATGCGCCGCGTATTGCACCTCTTTTTAAAATAAATTTGATTTTGCGATCCACTGCATCCGGGCAATCTTTAGACCGAACGAGAAGGGGAGCGGACGCAAGAGACACAGCAGGACATACGGCTGAGACTGATACCAATAAAATTACGCGGGAGGTACAGCGGTAATACGACTGACCACGCCGCGAGACAAATGTAAGGGGAGGAAGCGAAAGGCGTACATTGATCTGGTGAGAGTATGAGAAAAGAGCATAGGGGGAAAGGTAACACGCAGAGACAGCGAGCAGAGTAAAAAAAGATAGGGTTCTGCGATTCGAAAATTAGCGGAAAAAGGCGAGGCAGTATTGCGGCATCGGAAAGCGGCGTCCACCGCCCGGTCGCGTCTGCGGGCATTGATTGGCTTTCGAGCAGGCCGGGCCGGCCGCTGGCGGCGGCGGCGGCCGGCCCGTCCATGACGTCATTGCACCCGAGCATCGATCCCTGCCGCACGCGGCCTCTCCCGGCCGGCGCCTGACACCTGTAGCTGCTGTCGGCGCCGCTACCTGGGCGGCGTCCTGGAGCGCCCCGCGGCCCACCGGTGGGGCGAGAGTAGCGGCCTCAGCGACGACGTGACGTCAATGACGTGACTTGACGTCTGCCCCACTGTTTCAGTGGGGCTTCGCACCCCGACAGGGGGGGGGGGAGGGGCGGGTGCAGGGCTCAAAGGTCACGCACGGCGCCGCGTGCCACTGGTTGCTAACCGAGGTCGGCGCAGGGCTCTGGGGACCGATTTGAGAAACGATCGCGCAAGGGTCGCGTCGGGCCGCGGGGATCAGGCGATGCATGACCTATGCTTGAGTGCTGATCCCACCACTTCCGGGCGGCGTTGCCAGGCCAGAGGCGTGACGCCAGAGGGATCGGGAGACTTTTCGGAACTAGCCAGCGCAGGCCAAGTGGCCGGTCGATACCCTGTTCCGGTCCGAGAAGAACGACTCTCCAGTGTTGTAGGTCGCAGCCAACGATGCCGGATTTCAAACGTGCCCAAAGCTCGATTATCTGGTTGTCACTAGCTTGCAGTAGACCTTAATAACGCCAGTTTGCTTTTTGCATGTTTCCAAACTGTCTGCACCACGCATGAAGAGTACGACAAACCTCGTCCCTGGCTTCAAGGGTGCGCTAATGCCAGCGTGGTGAGACAAACTGCTTCTGAAACTTACGCTCAGGGTGCTTTCAGAAAAAAAGCGTCACCCTGGCATTGAATCCCAAATCCTAAATCCCAATTTTCCATCCGTTAGTTCGCCTTACGTCGAACGAGTGCTTATAACCGTGCACGTCACGCGCTCCTCTGGCGATGCAAACCTCCGTTTATGGCTGTCGGCGTGGTTGTGAGCCCAGCCCATACCACGCCGGCGCCTCCAGGCATCTTAAAAGCATTAACCTCGCTAATGGTCCGCGGTGGCCGCTCGGCCGCTGTCGGTCTCATCGTCCATCCACGTGACGTGCCCACCACTGGCGCACGTCGCCGACGTCATAATCGACACCATGGTGACGTCACGCCGACCGCAACCGGAAACGCTAAGTCCGGCCATTAGCCGACCCGGCCGGGATCTGCCCCGGCCGCTCTCGGCGGCTGCAGGCCTGTCCAGCCTCCTCTCGCGTTTCTTTCCATGACGCCAGCGGAGTGCAGCCCTGGTCCGATCGGTCCGTCGGGCGTAGGTCCTGCGCGCGGCGAGCCAGAACGGTGCGGTCCACCCAGCGTCCATACCCACCCTTAAGCGGCGATTGCTGCTTCACTGCAGCGGCCAGAACGCATGACTGGCCGGGGGCGCGCCAGCGATTTCAAATATGGGGAATGGGGGCAAACGGAAAATGCTCTGACCCTTATTCTTTGCTCACCGGGTTTCGGCTACTTCGTCTAAAGGTTTGATGGAAAGGGCTTTTTGGTTTATAAGCATATTTATCATCGACGTTGTTGCGTGCCCTGTCAGGAGAGTTGGTCTCTAATATAATTCATGCTGCTGAATCCATTTTCCTTTATATGCACTATTTTTGTAATAATTTTATGCTATCATTTTCATTTGCGTATTACAACCACATTTGCCAATTTATTTGTTATATTTTATGATAGAGGAAATTATTTGCCTCCTGAAATGTTCATATTTACAGACGCCGGCTGCTCGTGTCCACGATCGCGTTATCCAACAAAATAAATAAATGATGGTCGAAATGGTGAAAAGCGCCGCGATGTCATGATATTGGAGTAGATCGCGATCGGATAGCCCTGAAATGCTTGGCTCATTATCTACCGCGCATCGAGTAACTCCTGCAGTTGCCGCCTGCCCGTTACTGCGTTATTCCTGCAGTGATGTGGCGTTATTTTCGCTTCTGACACTCGGCTGCCCACCGATGCAGCGGTCTGTATTTGTTGTTTTGTTTTGAAGTGACATTGACCAGTGGTATATTACGAGAAAATTGGTATGCCGTTGCACCGTTACCTTTTGCCATTTCAGCCGTTCACAGCACGCGGTCATGATGGTCAACCAGCTCAGGCCACGGGTCCACCCACCTACTAGTCCACGACTGGTCAGCAGGTTATGAGTAGTCACATGAATACAGATACTTTCGCAGCATCGTCGTGCATTAAACCCTACCGCCTGATGCTGGCATGACAATTGACATCGGGTTAATACAGCAGACGATCGCTTGACCAGAACACTATTATAACATAGTCGAGGGACGGATGTAGGGGCAGGGCAGGGGGCCATCATCATTATCATCATCAGCATAATAATAATAATAATAATAATCAACATCATCATATATTTCGTTTATTTCTGGCACGAAGAGAACAATATGGCACAGTAAGTCCATGCCCCATCTTGGGCTATCACAAGTTCATAAGAGAGAATCCAGGCGTCCTAAAAACTTCCTTTTCATTCCAGTCCTTACAAAAACAGTAGCATTCAAATATATGACCAACCGAACCATTAACACATGTTTGAGTAATGGTCGGGTGCACGTCATGCAACCTTGTCGTTCATGCACACGTAGCTAACCGAATGTATGAGAGATGCCATACAGATAAGCTGTTCCGCCGAGGTGCTCCCAAAAGTGAGACGACTTGACGTCGAGTGGATCATGACGCTTTGCACCGTCCAACGGAAGTACATCTTGACATCTAATCTCCGTATAGATCTCCGTAGAACACAATTTAGCTGGTAACAGATCATTTAAGCCGTCATTCCTCTATACACGAAACATTGTGTGTGATGCCACCAAACATTGCATGTCGGCGGCTATCTTTACACACATGGTCTTACATATGCCCTCAGACCTAGTAGGAAGCCGTGGAGTGACGGTCGGGGAAATGACCCGCCCGCTCCACACACCCGCATTAGTGCCTGGTCAATTAACACTGAAGCGATTCTGGCGCCACTCTCCGGATTCGTGGGGACAATGCAGCGTGGTCCCGTCCTGTGGAGACCATTGACTGACACGTCTGTACGCGAGTGCTCTTCTTAGATGTTCTCAGAACTTCCCCAAACTGCAATGAATAGCTGCTCATTCAGTGCTGCCGCGCGACCGTCATCTTCCCCGAACCAGAATGGTCCGCTAAAACCATGCGTGGACATAGCGACCCATGCGGTGCACTTCACTGAGTGAATGGGTCAAGCTGAAGTGCGATACGGGGCTTGGTTTCGCCCGAGCACACTCTGTTCTTTGATATGGCCTGGCTACTGAGCAAAAATGTGCCTCATTAGTCAGAAGTGAACCATAGATCGTCAGGAAAATCTGGTTCCCGCTGGAAATTTGCCAGTGAACCAGTAATGAGTCGTCAACCGTTTACTCCTCCATGTCCTGAGTTTTGAGGTCAGGGAACGCAACTGTATAATGGAAGTGTGGTTTCAGATCCTTGTTCAGAATATCAGACGATTGAATTCTGAACAGCTCAAGCTTTTGGCAGCGGCGGCGAAGGAATTTGGTCAGGTTTCGTTTGAATGATGTCAAAACGGCAGTGATTTTGGCTGTTTTTTATTAAAGATTTTGGTCCTGTTGAATGAATGACGTTGCTAGGGACTGAAGTGCTCAGATTGTGTACCGTTCTAAGACAGCTGAATTTGTGCATCCAACGAAAAGATGATTTTTGCGGTATTTACTCTTTTAAAGACTAAAACAGTGTGCAAACTCCAAGCGAGTGCTTCGAAAAAATTCGGTCGCTGCATATGCTTCTACAGATAATGTTTTATTCGGGATTGTGAACTCGCCTTGATCAAGCGTTAACTTCCACACTGACGAAGGTGTTGCGAGAGATTATACCGTGGCACGTGCTATGGATGCAAGTTATTATGTTGGGAAATAGTTTTCCGGTCTTCAAACTACGTCCGTTATTTAGAAAAGTCACATGTTCGGCGGACAGTCGAAGTCTTTCAGGACAACAACAGTTATCCAAGCTACAACAACCTGTGTATGCCGTCTGCCATGGTTCGGTTGTGTGCGAGCATCAATGAATGAACACAGATATAAAAACGAGATCTTACCCAAAGAAGGCGATTTTTCTTGGCGGTTTCGATGCAGATGTGACCAGCTGCATATAAGTTTGGATAGAAACTTCACAATGAAGTTTTATATTCATGCACCCAAAGACATTTAACATGCCTGCAGTGCGGTGTATTTAATTTTCCTCCGACACCTATGTCACCTAGGTGTCAGCTGGGACACCTATGTTATTGATGCATAACTTAAGCCATGTTCATAATGCAGTTCAAATGTTAGACAAATTCGTACTCCTTCAATATAATCAAAACACGCGGCACAATACCTGCTTATTTATGTTTTACGGAAATATTGTGACTAGGTATTAATGCTACCAAAGGAGCAGTAGCTCGCGGTAGCGTCCTCGTCTGATGTGGTAGTATATTTACAATCTCTGGCTTGGGTAGTTCAACGGCAGAGCGCTGGAGAGCACTTTAATGAAATCCGAGGAATTTCAATGACAATTAGGGTTCTGGGGTTAATTAAGGGTTGGTTTGGGTTCCAACAACCAGGGGATGCAATTCAATCACCATACAATCCTTCTTAGGCCTCAGTAATACCTGGGGGCGATCGAAATATTGATTGGTGAAAACGTTGTGTACATACTAACCTACCATACGATGACGATAGTTTGAACATAATGTCACCGGTAATGGCTTATTACCCTTGTAACGGTACATAAATAAGCACATCTGTGTGCCCATTCCAGAAATTTAGTCAAATGTTTTACTATCCGACAACATATGACATCAAGCCTCAATTTTTAACCACCTTCACGTCTTTCAACTCTCACCATCAACATATTGATATTTTCTAAAGTAACATCAATATTGATATTTGTTATTCGATATCACTTGAGTCGTCGCGATGTACAAACCGTGAATAGTCATGGCCTCCACGTTGAAGCATTCACTGCAGGTAAGCTCAGTGGCCTGAGGACGCGATTTTTTTGGTCTTCCTGCAAGAAAAACACGATATAATTAGTCGTTGGCATCAATTATCGTGTCTGAGTTTCATGGTGCTTAGCGCCAGTTTAATCTATTTTGTGGCGTATTCTCCGAAATGCTTCTCAGCATTGTAGGATCTACCAATCTATGAACAAAAATGAAAGCGTTTCATGTATCTATGTGGATGCATGGCCGTCGAGTACTGCGCACGGTAAAAGGGATTCGCCGTATACAAATAAAACCCGTGCAAGTCTGAAGAATGAATGACCAGCATCCAAAACTTGACCTCCGGAGGATATCATCACGTCGAAGAACAAATCCAGAACCGTATTCAGAATGACGTTCGGCAACAGACTTTGGATTGACCTGTAAATCTGCACAAAAACTAATACCGGCACACAGCTTCCACTGCGTGCTATTCTTGCTACTGATCAACCGATTAACGCCATTGTAGTTGTAGCGTGTAAAGTCATATAATCTAAAACGGACAAATAAATATAGATTTATCTCATTACCGCGACGATCACAAGGGCGGCTGGATCGCTTTAGGCCTATTGCAATACCTATAGCAGCACCCATAAAACCGTGAATACAGATCTGAATATTGATATGTATCTGCTATCAACTGACCAGCCAGTTTTGAATGATCTTCTCTTGACAAAACCTGGGATGCGCCCCGGGGTCAGTGACAGCGGCAGATAACTATTGTCTATGCTCGTTGCTCTGATGTGTGCGTATGCTGTGAATGACGAAAAATATGATGTCTAATTATAAACAAAATGGCGCGGGTATTTTTCATCGACACCATTGTGTCACTTTTACGAGGACCCAAAAAGCAGCCGACTTCCACCAAATTGAGACTTTGTCTTCATCTCACCCAAAATGACAGTTTAATCGATGCAAAAGTAAAAGAAAACAACAGCGTTGGAAAGTTGTTACGAATTTTATAAAGATATGCTCCAACTCACTTCCATTTGCCTACGATTCCTATGAGAAAAATTTGGATTTTGTATAAGAAAACCTCAAGATAAGCCCCACCAAAGCCAAACGTTGGTGAAAGCGCCCTTCCTCTGCCCACCTTGTTTCTTTGCTTATATGCGCGGTTTCATGACCACTGGGTTGTGGCTTGACGCCGTATGAGTCCGTTTCGAATTCCATCTTTTGTGAGCTTTGCTCTGCTTTTTGCCCTGACATACCCATATCACTGGCAGTGATCTCTAATGGTACGCTCTGGCTTTCTCCGTGGCACCCGTTTCTGTAACCAACTGACTGACGAAGCAGTGACGTAGCAGCGCGACACCATTCACTTAGCATACCCCCCCCCCCCCCTCCACACACACACTTTGGCAGCTCTCACGGGCGTATTCCGCTTCCGTTCCAGCGGACACTACAGCATCTTTGTACAGACGGATGCCTCTCAATCGCCGGTGAAGGTGGGCAGCTACGACCAGACGGGCAGCTTCGGCGAGCTGGCGCTGATGTACAACATGCCACGCGCAGCCACGATACAGGTCAGGACCGTGATGACGGCAGACGCGGAGCGGGCTTGGGGCCAAAGCCGAAACCACGCTGCGAGTCCTGCCCTGTGCCTCCTGCCAGCCCTGTCTTCTCCTGCCCCTCCTGTCCGTTCCGTCTCCTCCCGCCACGCCCCATCCTAACACGCTTAGACTAATTCTCTTAGTCTCCTTTTACGCTCTATTCCAGTGGATCCCGAATGCACCAGGTGGTGGCTGGTTGGCTGGGGGCAGTGCACCCCGAGTGCACCAGGTAGTGGGCTGATGGGACTGGGGACACCGGAGTAATTCCCAGTCCCATCAGCCGTAAGTTGCGTACATCGGCAAACCGAGGGTGTAGTAACAATTTCCGTTCCCCGGTCGAGTCGGAGGAGAGGCGTCCCTGGGGTATTGGCGATGGTATTCTCACACCAGGCGGACGGAGGGGGTCCATCTGGCGGACCTCATTAACACACATCATCTTCCTTGCCCCCTCCCCATCCTTCTTATCCTGCCCTCTCTCACTCTGCCCCGTATGATGCCACCCTGTCGTCCCAACCCCTGCCCTGGCCTGTCGCGCCCCACCGTGTGCAGCCCTGGGTGGCCCGTCGGCCGCCGCGTGCAGCCGGGCTCTCCGGTTCCAAGCACCGGGCCGGCAGCGCGGCATCGATTTTACCGCCGCGAGACCAGCCCACCTCCGCTCGACTGAGCCACGGCCCGTCTCTCAGCCGGTTATCGTCGGCGGCCCTGGGTGTCCGCTTCGCCCTGCACCGGCGCGGTGCAGGCGCGCTGAACCACTTCATCCCGCTGCCGACGCAGCGGCTCGCTGATGCAGCGGGATATGCGAGCCCCCGAGAGCAGGCGCGCTCACTGCAGCATGCCTCAGCGGCTGGTAAAGTGCTGAGGACGCAGTGCAGGTTTTGCATCGTTCTTCCTGTGCGCCGATTGTGCTGCGAAATCGAGCTGTCGGCGGGTTTTGGTTGGCTGACCCAGTTGGTTGTTTTGTCTGCGGCGGTCGCCACGCGGGTGTGTTTCTGCTTCGGCTCAAGCTGACGTGTTGCGTGACCGCTGTGTTGCGACACCATCAGCTGGGCTGAATACTGGATGCACGTTTGGCGGCACCTGTCGCTGGGCTGTTTGCGTTGCGTATTGATGTGGGGGTGTCGCTCGCAGGCGGACTCGGAGGGATCGCTATGGGCGATGGATCGACAGACGTTTAGAAGGATCGTCCTCAAGAACGCCTTCAAAAAGCGGAAAATGTACGAGCAACTCCTGGAGACAGTGCCGATGCTCAAAACGCTAGAGGTAAGGATCTTTTTCTGTGTGGATGCGACTCTATGGAGCTGGTTGAACAAGCGTCCCTTCTCACTAACGCCACCTACCATTGTTTTCTTCGCTTGTTGGGATGACACCATTTCTTTGAATCTCTCGTCCAATAGCGAACTCATGCAATAACCGCGGGGGCAGGTTATTGTTGTACGCATCAATGTGTACGGAAATAACTGTCAGGACGCAAAAGTTCGAGGGAGACACATCAAATTAATTAGATCGATAACATGCTTTGCTTTTTACGTCATGCAAGAAATTTGGCGAGTTCACAGGGTGCTGCTCTGGATTTTCAATAACACTGTCTGAGCTGTGACACCCCATGGGAAAGCCCTGCATGCGCCCCTGCCCTCGCCGCCGCGCGGTGCCCGCTGCAGGGCTGCCGCGACGCTGAGCCCTGCCGAGCAGTTGATAGCGTCCGACGATAAGGCAGTGCGCGCTTGTCGTCACACCTGCGGCTGTACAACGGATTGCTATCCCCTGGAACTCTGCGTGGCTAGCTCTCGACTCTTGGCTCCTCGACTCGACGCTTGACTCACGTGCTCGCGACCTCCTTCGTCGCCAGCCGTACGAGCGGATGAACCTGGCGGACGCCCTGGTGCCTCAGTCCTTCCAGCCGGGAGAGATCATCATCGAACAGGGCGACGATGCCGACGGCATGTATTTCGTGGAGGAGGGAACTGTGCGTATCGCGCGAGCCGAACATGGTCAGGAAGAAGTCCAGGTGAGCGCTGGCCGCGTCCGGAGTTACCAGACGCTCTGGTGAGGCGAGGGTTCGAAAACATTTCTTTCAAACGTCAGTTGTATGGCTTGGGATAGATTAGCACTTAAAAGCAGACATGTTTAGAGGCAGCGGCCAGCAAGCAGAGAGAAAGAAAGAGAAAGGGAAGAGGAGAGAGAGAGAGAGAGGGAGAGAGAAGGGGAAACAGAAGAGAGAAAAAAAGAGAGAGACAGAGAGAGGGAGAGAGAAAGAGACAGGAGAGAGAGAGAGAAAGAGAGAGGGAGAGAAGATAGAGAGATAGAAAGGGAGAGAGAGAGAGAGAGAGAGAGAGAGAGAGAAGAGAGAAGAGAGAAGAGAGAGAGAGAAGAGAGAGAGAGAGAGAGAGAGAGAGAGAGAGAGAGAGAGAGAGAGAGAGAGAGAGAGAGAGAAGAGAGAGAGAGAGAGAGAGAGAGAGAGAGAGAGAGAGAGGAGAGAGAGATAGAGAAGAGAGAGAGAGAGAGAGAGAGGAGAGAGGAGAGAGAGAGAGAGAGAGAGAGAAGAGAAGAGAGAGAGAGAGAGAGAGAGAGAGAGAGAGAGAGAGAGAGAGAGAGAGAGAGAGAGAGAGAGAGAGAGAGAGAAGAGAGAGAGAGATGAGGAGAGAGAGAGAGAGAGAGAGAGAGAGAGAGAAGAGAGAGAGAGAGAGGAGAGAGAGA